TCACTGTCCCAGGCAAATAAACGTCAAAATGCTTGACTTGTGTACACACGAGTTTTTTAAATTATTTATTATTTATTTTTTGTCGGTTCCAATGAATTATTAATAAAAATAATAAATAATCGCTTAACCAGCTATATTGGATAAAACCCTTGAAATGTATATTTGACGACTGCGAACGGTATAATTGCATTATTATGTCGTTTAAAGTCCAGTCGACACTTAGGTAAAATATTTTTAAAATTACTTTTCCCTTACGGCTCCGCTCTTAGGGGCATTTTCCAAAACAAATATTATACACCAAGAATAGTTTATTAATTATATTTGATTCGTCTCACGATGTTATACTCATCGTACACATGTTATTCGCTTGTCAAAAATAACATTTTGTAATCATTATTATTTTTCCGGTGATATGAATACGGATTAAAAAATGTGTTCGAAATAATCATCATTGTTTTTAATAAATAGAAAGAAACAACTTTTATTTAAAATTGAGCTATCTACCAGGCGAGTTGCCAAAAGGCACGGCTTACTATTCAATATACAAGTGTTAATACATTAGACCCTTTAAATGTACAGTACAAATAAACTTACGGAATTTATTGTAAAAATGGGCGACTTTAACAAAAAATAAAGTTAACGATAAAATATTTAAATAAAACTTTTAAATAGAAGATACGACTACGAGTATCTTATATATAAGAATTGTGTGCGTTCAGTACTTCAGTAGGCTATTTTTTTAAAACATGATAATGGTTCGTAAGCAAATATAAAAAAAAATACCAATACTACCAATATATAATATTACATTTATAAGAGTAAGCCAAAAGCCATATTAATATTGAACACATTATCATAATATTAAAATAATATAAAAATGCAAAATATTTCAGTTCTAATATTTTAGAAGCCAAAAAGATGCGGCATGTTTTTATGTTCTCACTAAAAACTTAATAAATTTAGTTGAGACCATAGAACAAGAAATAAATAAAATATATAATATGTGCGTATTATATATTATAAAAATGTAAATTGATATACAAGTAAAAATTATTTATACGATAAAAATTGAACGTATTCTATCTATTTTTCTAACAATTTGTAGCGTCAATTTGATAACAAATTCTTCTTTCGAAATCTTACGAATCAACTAAAAAGATAAGGTCAGTCTAGGTGAAAGGGAAAATGTGGAAAAAACTGTGCCATCGGGAATAATTCCGATATATAAACCGGATTGGTCAACTGCTAGAGAATACAAACTTCTTATTCTTCTTTATTAGTTTTATATAGGACACATGTTGTTAATGCAAGTGAGTCGAAAAAGTAGCGAAGGGTAGGATTAAGTTCATATAGAAACCGACTATTGTTTTTTTCACAATAAGTTGATACTTTTTTAGACTTAACGAACGACACAATTCTCGTTGAAAAATATTTCAGTGATGGTTTAATATATATATGTTACTATGGATCACTTCCATGTCGTAAATTAGAACGAACGATAAATATCTTCAGAAATCATTTTATATATATGACCCAAATTATTCATTGTAAGGGAGAAAATAAAAAAATGTTATTTCAATGGGGTTACCAGACATTTTTTAATAAGAAATTACACATTGTAGCCAACGAAAAATTAATCTTATGCTGCATTACGTTATAATACATTTTATTTATGGGTACTAGTTACTAGTTTGGTCTTAAATAATTGTTTTTCAATGGTTTACTAAAAATCATACTGTATCATCGGGAATAATTGCAATAAAAATTATAATATAATACAATAAAACAAATTACTCGAAAGCATGGCATATCTCGTGTTATATTTTGACAGATTATATTATTCCAGCTTTAATTAAAACTTTAATAAAATATAATGACTTTAAAATTAATTATGTAAACTATTCATTACCATAATACATGACACTTAAAAAAAAATTCTTATAGTACCTATTCTTATATATAAAATGAATATTGTTATTCAGTGCATCAAAGTTTTAACGAAATTCAAACTATTTAATGAATTAAAATGTAATTTTTTTAAAAATAAAACTTGTTGAGTTAATTAATTTTCAATGATTTATTTTAATAGCTAATATGGAAGTTAATATTTTCAATAAAATAAATCTGTTAAAATTAAAAATAAGATTTTTATCAATTATTTATTATTATTCCTTACAATTATTTCAAATGAATTTTATAATATTAATTTATTACAATATTAAAACTCTTTGTGAATAAATTTAAAAGGCCAAAATATGAAAAATACGTTTAGATTCTGAGTGACATGACAAATATATTTTTACTTAGGTTTTTTATAAAAACAATATTATTTATTATTTCATTTGACTTATTTTTGTTTAGCTAATTATATCTTAAATATAATATAATTAAATATGTTATATTTGATGATACATTTGAATGTTTTTGATGAATTATAATTATAGAATTAAATCTCTCAAATCAGAGTTTAATTTTTAAATGAAATACTTGATGAAATGTGTTTAATTAGTGTTTTGTTATGACAGGTAAAATAAAAGATAAACCGATTTTGTCCCAAAAATTCATTGAAAATCCAAAAATCACTCCAATGTAGTTGTAAGCTGTTGTGTAAATGAAACATAATACTCAGTCATATTTTAACATATTTCTACCGAAGATCATAGGCAAACAGTCATAATTTATTATTATATTTTATGAGCGCACTAAAATACTTCGATAAAAAAAAAAATAACATTCAGATGAGTACAAAAACCATACTTTAATATAAACGCTGTAATCTGAGGTAATTTCCTTTTATATACACAACTTTGGTGCGAGAAGGGGGCAGCGGAAATAAGTTCTTCTAATATGTCTTACAACGGCTGAAAACACACTTTTAAATAACGTTGCATAATCCTCACGGACAACTTTTACAGCTAATATCAGCTCCAGTTGCACGACTTCAGGGCTAGTTCAGTTACAACGTGTAAATGTATCATAAAGAAGTCTAACCTTTATACACATTTATCATTCATGAAAATTCAATATTACGCTAACAAAAATATAAGCATTATAAAAGTATAATTTAATTGTTATATAAATTATTAATATTATTTATTTGTTTATTTATTTATTTTCTTTCTAATAAGTGTAAAATGTCATTAGTAATGACACATTACTTATTGAATATTTTAAAATAAATGTATGAGATAATTTGATTTCTCACAAATTATTATTCGATTAACTGTCATAAGATTTATATTTATCTGATGATTATGTTTAATATTTGAAAAGATGTTCTCTTCGCTCCGGGCAAGCTTAATATTTGGACAAACAATCTCAATACGTCAAGTTGGTTTGTCGTTAGTTTGCGTACACTATATTTAGATCAACTTTGACATTTATATAAAATTTCCTCTGTTTTTTAATGCCAAAAATTAGAAACTTAATCACTTAAAGTAATAATTCTACAGTAATTTACTTCTAGAAGGACAAATTTATCAAGGAGCACTACTATTCGTACAACATTTTTCAACAGCCAATGACGGTATATATTTTAAGGGTCTAAGAGGTACATTAAATTTCAAAAATAAATCGATAGTTGTTTCAATTTTATGAAGTACAGTGGTAGCCGATTATTGACTTATTCGGTTAATGGACTCAAATGGTCAGGTCCCAAAGTTAGTTTAATTAGTGGCGACCACTGTATGTGTACAAGTAAAAAATGTATATTTAATCACCTCGTCGCTTTTAATATCCTAAATGTATTAAATTATTGAATATAGTACTTGAAGAGTATACAGTTATACACATTCTTAGATGTTTCCTATGTAAGTTGTAAATATTATGTGTTGCGTGAATAATACATAAAAGTAAAATATTTCCCTGAATTAGATTTGTTTAAAATAATATAAAAAACAAAAAAACCAATTAATTCTTTATAAATTCAATTGGAATTTTATGTAAGGAAGCTCAAGAATCACGCAATAAGAACATTATGAAGTACACAGTTATAACAAAAACAAAAAATATTTTTAATGTTTATTTAATTTTAATGTATTTATTTAAATGTATGTAATTAATAAGTATCAATAAATATGTATTTCAATGATAGTTATACATTCATGAATATCAATAATTTAATTATTTAATTTTGGTCACATCTTTGCGTTTTGCGACCACTGTGCGGTGTCTCCTATAGTTGATAAGCCCAACAGTTACTCTTGATGTAATCTTATAATATTGATAATATTAATATATTTAAGATACGTTTATCAGGGGATTTTTATTGTATTGAATTAAATGTTTTCTGTGGCTATAATAAATACAGATATCGTCCCGCCATTTGGTAACATAAAATATAAAATAAAAAATATTTTATACGATTATGTAAATTGTCTATAAGTACCTCAAAATGTATTTATTATGTATTACACCACGAAAACCATTAAAATGTTGGTTAGTTAACTGTAATTGGTTTAATACATACACAGATTTTATTATTGTATTTAGTGTTGCTACGGCAGTGAATAAACTAGAATTCTTGGCAACCCTTAACTATACTGAATGTATAACATAAATTACACGGCACACAAGGTGTTTACTATGAACAGCGAAAATAAAATAAATATATCCGATTGACGATTGTCATTAACAAATTTCCGTTCAACCAAATGAATGCAATCCAATCAATGTGATAATACGGAAGAACATTGCAATTCTTACGAGTTTTCAAATTGACGCAATGACTCGCTATCATTATAGTATATAAAATGTTGTATTTTTATTTATCTTCGTTTTGTTTCTGATAAGTCAAAGGTAAAAAAAAATTGTATATACATGCATATTTAAACATTTTTACGTTAATAATACATCATCGTTGTTCCACATATATTTAAAATAACTGTTAATATTTATTATATGTATACAAGAAAATAATAATGTTTTACTCATTATAAGATAATAAATTAATATTTGTTTATGGTAAATTTAATTAATGTTGAATTAATTAATTATTTCAGATTTGCGATCGCTATCCTGTAAATATATTCGGTACACCAGTGACTGGGATTTGGATTTGGCCAAAGAAGACATCGGTGTTGATTCTGATGTTTATTTTACACAATCGTTTGTTGCCAAAATGAGGTAAGATTATTTACTGTTAATTTTTTTTTTTTTTTCAATTGATTACATACATTATTTATTATTGACATTCGTTTTCGAAAAATAAAATAAAATTTATATATATAGACTAAATCAATTTTTTATTTTTACATTTTAATTAATATTATAGCTTTGAACCGATTGATAAGATAGTATTCAATATCGTTTTTTTAAGTTTAGACTTAACTATCGCAATTTGTAACATAAAATATTGGCATTTTAATATTATAGAAACTATTGCACGCGATGGGTTGATCGTAAATTAAAATTATCCGAATAAACGACATGTCGAGTTGATGGTAACTAATTTCTCACCGGATAATGGGTCGCATCCAACGGCCACAAATCAACACTACGGCCGAGGGGAAGAGGAAACACGAATTTTATCACGTATCTAAACTTTCCCTCTTCCTTCTAAACCTTAGTGGATTTGGACCCAAATTACAACGCTGCCAGCATCCTAGCGCATATATACAATGGGCGAAGTTTCTCTATAAAGCGTGTCTGTAAGAATTTCCTTGAAACTATAAACATTAGGACTAGATTTCATTTTAAAGCTTTTAAACTATTGTAATTTTATTGACTCGAGTCAAACAAAATACAATCTCTGGAATATTTTCACCGTGAAAAGACAGCGAATTGGAGATTTAAGACTTGATTTCGAGTTTGACGAGTTAAACAATACATAAATATATATTCTGTTCTTTCTTGTCTTTATGGAAATTCAAAACAATACTACTATAAACTGGAAATAAATATATCATGTTTGATAAAAGTTAAGTTTCCTAGCAAATTTAAGATTCGGTTTCAATAGAAATGTAGTTATTATTTTTGAACCATGTGTTATTGTTTTACATATTAAAATATTTTCGTATTACAATATTGATTTAAATATTTACCATTTCTAAAATTATATCATACATTATTTTTGTTAATTATACTATCTGCATTTTTCCATTTTCATTTCAATTCATTCAATGTTCATTGAAAATAAATGTTCGATTTTAAAATAATAATATTGGTTATAGTTATTATAAATAAATTTAATGCATTACGGGATGACTCGTTAATATTGTTTTCTTTATTATATTGATACACAATTTGTGTTAAATTTTTGTTTCGTTTCACGTATAACTGCTTTTTGTTTTGTTATTCAACTTGACAAATAAATTATTTAAAATGTTTTCTTAGCGTATGATATGATTTACATTACACATATTACCACATATGTGTAACGGAAATTCGTACCCAAAAATTCAACCGGGCCTCTCATAACTACATAGACGGTTAGCACACTACAACCAATGCTATTGTTCTGTTGTATTATACTCTCTCATATTGTGATTTATATTATTTTTCACTACAAACTAATTACAACCCAAAAGTTTTTGTGTGTCCGATATTGTTTCTAAAGTAGAAAGACGAAGAGGACTAATTTATAAATATATATATTAATTCAGGAAAGGATCCAAGAGCAGATATACATATATGTATATATGTTAATAATGAATAGCTTAAAAATTAATATATTTAATTTGATCTATATCGCATTATTAATATAAAACATAAAAATGAGTTTTCGTCGTAAATGTAGGCTTTTTGAATTTTAAGAATCATTATTTATCTTTATTTGGACAACCCCTGAGTATGTTGTAGTTTTGTTTATTTGGCGCTAATGGTTTTTTTATTTTTATTTATTATTATTTTTTTTTTTTTTTTTTTAACTAATATCAAAATAAACTTTGGATACTTTAGATGTTTTGACGATCCACGTAACTGAAAAACCGATCACAATTAATGATGATACAGAATTTATCATAACGATGAGTCACTTTAAAAAAATCAAAAATAATGAGAACAATCACGGAATGAAACTTCGAACGCAGAAGACCCGAGATCCTATTTTTTCTTAGTGCTGTTGTTCCCAATTTACTTAGATTGAGTGGTATCAAAGGAACAACGAGAGGCTAGCAGATTCATATTAAATAAACTATGCGCGTTTCTACATTTATATATAAATATAAACGTTTTGACCATGTGTGTAGAAGCACCGTAGAGATATTGGATAAAGTATTATGTTCAAGTTTGCTCGCTGTCGAATGTAGGCAAAGTCTGAGGTGGTAGTCCATCACCCTGATGGTAGTACGTAGGAAACAGTGGTAGCAGCGGTTTATCCATCTCGTGACTTGAGTATAAGAAAATGTACATCTGTAATTGGAAAATAACTCGATTTTTGTTTTACGACGACCGGCCGCATACAATTTAATTCTCCTGGCAAATCCAATTTGATAGTTCACTGGGTCAACAGCGAGTAAGGTGCATACCAGCGGTTTTCTCGTCGTGGTATTTTTTTTCCGAGAATTTTTATTCGAAATCGTTATATTTATATGCACCTCCATTTTTCTTTTCATTTCTCTCCATCTTTCTTTTTCCTCCCCCGTTTCTTTTTCCATCTCCATCCTACTCATTCCCTCTCACTCTGTCACTATCTCTGTCTGTCTATTTTTTTCTCCCTCTCTCTTTCTCTCTCTTTCTCTAAATGTAAGGTAGTTTTTCGAACAAAAAAACAAATGTTTACTTAAAATGCTGGACGAGACTTGAGGGAAACAATAGCCTCACTGCGGATGTTAACACCCATTTGACGGGTTATGTTTTCTTTATAGAAAGTAAATTCAAATGAACTGTTATTGTACGAGAAGAGTGGAAATACGAATGAATGTAAATAGCATAAGCATAGTTTGTATCAAAAATTATAGTTCTATTAAACAGCATCACTAGTAAATGTCCGTCGCTTAAGTAAGTTCTATACTTAGATTTGACACATCAATTTCGAAAACGTTTGTTCACATTAGTGGAGTTAAATATTAAAATCATTTCACGTGCATATTTTTTGATTTGGAATAATATTAACAAAAATCTTTAAATTTGGTGGGCTTGAATAGCCGGAATCTATTCGCAAGCTGCATGTTGGAGATACCTAACGTGAGACAAAAGTGAAAAAGGTCTCAAACACATTGTATAATCGTAATAAATATTGAACTAGCTTAATTTTCTCGGGTGTTATTCAGTCAATTGTCACTAGTATTGTATTATTTAACTTTTTTTTTTTATAAACTATCAAGTGATATCATTATAATATTTTATTCGTTGATTATGAAGAGGGAGCGTTTGATTTACTGCGAAAAAATTGCTGATGGTGTTCATTACAATTAGAGCAATCTATTATTATTTATTGTATGGTACATATAATAAGAATACTTCCGTTCGGTAAACATACATTGTATTCGTCAAAAAATTGTATGCAAAATTCTGAAATTAAATTTAGTCGTTCAGATTAAATACATACATAAATATACATTGAAGACTCGTTTTAATCTATGTAAATATATAATCAATGCATTGAAATGGTTGAATGAAATTGCGAATATACAATCGAATTATCTTTGATCGAATTTTCGTATCGAAATAAATGCAAATGGATCAAACGTTTTTACCATCGATTGTTCGAAATTAGATTTTCGCATAATATTCGTTTTGAAAATGTTTACATTTCGAACAATTGAGTTTAACCGGCAATTATTATCGATATAGCCAAACAGCGAGAGTGATACAATATAAAGCCGAAAAGACGATAAAGAATATTATATAGTTTATCGTTGAACCGTACCATTAGTCAATGCGAATAATAATCAAATAATTTTTGTCATCCGAATATTTTTAAGGTAAGTTTAAAACAAACGGGTTTTCTACGTTCGGTGAAAGATCTGAATATTAGGATTATAATTGAACGTGAAAATGAACGCATCTTTATCGTACTGTATACAGCTTATTGTAATCTACCGTTCACTATTATTGTGTCTGCTTGTATATATGTAAATATTTTTGGGCCTGATCGTTAAGTCACACGGGCCAGATAAAGTTGCGCGATTGCCAGTTTAAATGGTAATGTCGATAAGTTTACTATATAGTTGACTCGAGGCACCGTTGCAGTCGATGAATATTTATTTTCCAAATGCTCGTTGTTCTCGCGATCGCGTTTGGTGGGGCACGAGGGATCGTAAAGCCGTTAACGGCGTTTCGCAATCGTAATAATATAAATGTAGAACTCGAACAGCAAATGCACAGCTCGACTTAAGTCCATAGCAGCGCGACATCTCGCGTGACTCGTTTTTTTTTTAATAATATAAAATCTGTGCACAACCACAAATGTGACTAGAATATGTTTACAAATGTTTTTCCCATATGATGAAACAAACAAGTTATTCGTGAAATGTATTCGTTGATAATCGTAGCGTTGCAGAAGATTCACGTACAATTTCAGTATCCGGAGAAAACACTACGGTACACCGTGTCTGTAGTACAATTTAAAATTACAATTTTCCAAAAGAATCAAAAAAAAAAAAAGTGTTGAAAATGTCGAAAGCTTCCATAAGTAAATCGTTCCATATGGCCCTTCCAAACTTTAATGACCGAACGTGAAAGTAAATTAAACAACTGAATTAGCGAAATAATACGTGCATTACTGCCAGCTGGTGACAGTCACGGATGACGACGCCGTATTCGTGCGCGAGTCACAGGTGAATACTCCGTATCCAGTTCAACCCCCTTAGATTCATCGCCGCGGTGACCGCAACACCCCGTACAGTCGTATTTATTGCCCCGTATCGCTGTGCGGGAGACAACTTGTTGACTGCGTCCGATATAATTTATGGCTTCGAGTTACGGCTTTTCGACGGCCCGATCTCGACAATTGCGATCGGACGAAGATAACCGCTGCTGCTCGTTCTCGTGCAAACACGCGCACATACGTTCACGTATGTAAATCAACGGACGGCTGACGAGAAATCGATGTCGGGATTAAGCCCGGCACACCGCGATTCCGTCACGGACGGATCCGGTCGACGTGTAATCGGATTGTCGAGGAGCGCGCACACGCAAATCGGTGGGCGGCGGGTGAGCTCGACGAACAGAACACACACGTG